TATGTAGGTTGGTGGTGCAATGTGTGCAGAGCACTCCACCTCCCTGTGTGGTTGGGGCAGCCAATACAAGGTTGGTTTCTTTGAGCGGTGAGAGCACTGAAAGCTCACAGACAGCATTTTTGTGATAGCGGTTTATTTTCCAACATGCAAATTTGAGTCTGGGGGAACAGCCGTGCATCTAGGCCCACAGTTCAAGTCTTTAAAAACTGTGTAGTTTCCCCCAAGGTAAAACAAGGTGACTCTGGAATTATTTGATTCTGAATATGAATGTGACATAACAAGTTCCATGCTGTTAATTTCTGCCCCTATGCCACTGAATAGCTTTTCTTGGTCCTAAATTGTAATCTGGTCTGGAGAATAATTCATTACTTTTACTCTTGCATCTCAGGTGGCAGCAGCAGAGAAAACCCCTTTAGCATCTATCTCCCAAATGCCACCAATGCTAGGTAAAAGAGAATTATGGCTTACAGAAAGTTGGGAAGGGGAATTCTGTCCCCATCATTTTCCTTTCTCTGTGGCTCTTCTCTCAGTCACACCATGGCTATATTTGGTGGGGACATGGGAGAGGGCTCTTTTGATGGGTGCTTCCAACATTTGGAACTCACTTCTTAGTGAGATTAGACTGGCTCCCTCCTTGTTGTCTTTCCACTGGCAGGTGAAGACTGTTTTATTCCAGCAGGTTTTGGGGAGCTCATTGCTTTTAAGGAATAGGCTTTTTAATAGTGCTGTGCTGTTTTTACTAGCTGTGCTTTTACTATCTGCATTTTAAGAGATTGGTTTTTCATATCATTTTAATTCCATTATAGTTTAATTAACTTTTCAACTATGATCGTTCTGTGCTTTATCTGTGTTTAATTTTTTAAAATCTACTTTACGCCCTGGTTTGGGGGAAAAGGTGAGGGAATGAATAAATGGTAGTGCAATGGATGCTGAATTGGCTCAAGATTGGGGGTGGATATCTAATTTATCCCCAACTCAGTTCTCTCTTGAAATGTCTAGTGCAAGAATGGAGACTCTATGCTCCTCCAGATGTTGCTGAATCCAGCTTTCATCTTCCCTTGACCCTTGACCACACTGACTGGTGCTGATGGGAGTTTTAATCCAATCACATCTGGAGGGATACAGGCGACATGCATCCCTGTCCGACAGCAATCATGCAATCCTAGCTTTTTGTTTGACATGCTCCTATGTAGAAATGTGGTTAACGCATGAATGGAGCCCACTTTAGCTGCACCCAAGCACAATAGAATAATGATTCTGTGCATGTCACCATTCCCAAGGAAGAAATAAACTTGGGCCATTTCCAGGTCACCTCTTTATTGAACATTCACCCTTACCTGTTTGCACAAGGTTAGTGGCAAGGTTAAATGTCTGGTCATTGAGTATTGTTCTAGATTTGTTTACTGATTATATCATGTTGCATCAAGCAATCGCTATTTCACACTTTGCAGTGCATTTTCCCCTCGTTCTTATCATAGAAAGTAGGTTTGTTGCACAAGAGCATCAAATCAACTAATTGCACAACCTTAATTTTGGCAGTATGATTGAATTCAACCCCAAAATAGCAACTGACTGGAAGCACCCTTCGAGCTGTTTGCAGCTCTGTTGACTTGCGTGCTGTAAGGTAAAGAATGATTTCTGTTAAACTGACAGTACAATTGTGAAGAGTGGCTAATAAATGAGAGAGAATGGGAAGATTAAACAAACCAAAAAGAAGCCTAATGGGGGTGATTTGAGACAGTACACACTGTACTGTGTGGAAGGTTAGTCTTCTGCTTTCAAAGAAGGGATCTTATATAAGCAGCTGCTATTAGCTTGATGTTCCAAAGGACTAGCTGCAAATCCTCACACATGTTCAGGTTATTATGTCACAGTTTGGGTAATCAAGATTGCAAGCTTTGAGTCAAATAAATCCCTTTTTTTAAAAAAACCCAACAGAAAAACTGGCAGTTCTTATGTTTCTTCTCCTCATTAGTGCTTATCAGAAATTACTGGTATGTGTTTGGCTCTACAGCCGGCCAATAGTGAATCTGCATGTGGAAAAACCGATACGCCACAATTCAGCTGGACAGCAGCAAAAATTCAGACCAGAAGTACATCTCTGTAGCAAGGCAAATCTCTGGAAAACCAAGCTGCAAGTAGTCACAAAAGATTGCTGCATGTTTTAAAGTTTCAGGCTTCCTCTCAAATAGATTGAAGTCTACTGAGAAGACTGAATATATTTTATGTTATCATTTTATGTGGAATATTTATATACTGCTTATATTTAAACAAAACCCTAGGCATATTACAGTGTATGTTAAAACATTTTGAAAGAGTTGCTTACATGAGAAGTTTTCCTTTGGAAAGGGCCTTCTTTTCATCTAAGTACTAAAAAAGGAGAGCTTAAATACATAAAGGAGAATCAAATAATTAAATATATGGATTCTGTTGTACAAAGAAAATTTTCTTTGCTAGAGAATATAATATATGCCAGCCTCTGACCAGTGAAAAGTCTTTCTTCTCTCTCCTCTTACTACTAGAATAACTCAGGTTGATGTTCAGACAAATATAACTGAACAAGACCTTCTTCACCTGTTAAACCCAAGAGTAACAAGTCCTAAAATTTTCCATAAGTAGAATTTACTGTGAGCATGTATTCAAACTCGGTTCCAGCCACATTTTAAAAGTAAAGCTAGAGCCCCAATTTCTTACCATATTATTGTTAGGCTGTTGTATGTGCAGTTAGCATAGATGCTCTGGATCTGCAAGATGGTGGAGCTTGGAATTCAGGTGGATCCTGGAAATCTTGTTTATTAAAACACACCCCAACATGTACACATGTGTGAATCACTGCTTCCCCATTACAGTGGAAGAAAGTGCAACAGAAAAGATGATTGTGTCAGTCTCTTAGATTTATCCTAAAATTGTTACAAAAATTAGAGTTACTACAAGATTTGTAAAGAAAGAAAGAAAGAAAAGCAAAAACCAAAGTTAACTTTGGGTTTTGAGGAAAGCCATAAGAATTGTGATAACATTAACAATTGTTTCAGGGTTTTACATATACCTAATACCTGCCAATTTATTTCACCTATAGTGAAATCTGAGCTGAGCTTGAAAGTTCTAACATGGGGAAATTTAGAGGGCACATTTAGAAATATTTCAGTAAAGCAGCAACATTTCTCAAACCCAAGGCTCATAAAATTAAGGTCTTGTCTAAGAAGGAACCTTCACACAGTATTAGGGAGTTCCCACATCTCTAATCTTAACCCAATACTCTGATTATTCCCCCAGCACTCAACATTCATGCAGCCCCTTGGAAAAGAATGTGACAAAATATGAAAACTTCCCTTCACAAGTGCTCTGTCTGCACATATTGAGTTCCATGAATTGTAAGAGATTTCCCAGTATTAGAATGTAATTGTTTTATTTAAATATTTTTTTAGCCACTGTTGAAGGCCAAGCCCTCACAAGCCAGCTTTAATAAAAACATTAAAATTCAACATATGTGTAATCACAAATACAATCCCATGATAGAAAAGATCTGCATTAATATTATTAAATCACCATCTCCAGCTATCATAAAAGCAATAGAATAAGCTTAGAATGGTTGAAAACCATTTCAGCACTGGCTTAAGCAGACAAATCCCATTGCCTTTTCTTAGAAAAAGTAACATAAAACAAATGGAGGCATCAGCTTCTGTCTTACTGAGCATATGTGTAAATCATCCCAGCGAAATCATGAAGCAAATGGAATCGCCTATGAATTTGATGGAGAACCTTTTTGTAAATACTTTGGAGACCTTAATAAAGTGAAAAGCTGAGTTTTCACTGTTGCGGTCTTTGTTCTTCAACAGGTTCTCTAGCTTTGGGTAGAGATGTTGGATCTCAGGAGATCTTATGTTCCAATCCTTGGCAAAATCCACAGTGTTTTCTAGACATATTTTCTCCATCATATATTGTTTACAATTGAATTGATAACTGCGTAGAAAACATTGAGTACTGTTTTATTTAACTGAGCAGCAGCTGCTAGATCAAGCTGTAAATCGAAAGATCCCAGGCTGAAGTCCATACAGGCAGGCCAGATACTTAAGTTGATAAAAGTTTCATTTTTGCCAGAAATTAGTGGCAAAACTAGGGCATTCTGGCACCCTTGACAAAATGGGGCCTTAAAATTGTATGCTGCCACCATCATTCCACTTTTTTCTTGCTAATTATTCACATCTGATTCCAACCTCCTGGACTTGTTAGTCTCTTCATATGAGTCGTGTGAATCTTAATAGCATTACTTCACCAGGTGCCATAGCTAGAAATTTACATGCCCTGAGCTGGTTCCCAGTTCTATACCACTATCTCTGAGAACCAGTTTTAGATGGATTTAAGAGTGGACAGGCTAGTAGCAGCAGGGACAGACTTTGGTCTTTCTAATTTCAGCGGCACCCTGTATGAAACCAAAATTCAGTGCCCCCCAGCCTCTCACCTTCCGTTCTGCACATGCGCCATGTCATAGTTGCAACACCTGGCAGCGCCCCCTCATCCTGGCACCCAATGTGGGGGAACCGGTCCCACTGCCCTAAATCCACCTCTGCAGTTAGCCTTGCTGTTGAACTTTTATTGGTGCTTTTTAGATGCATTGTACTTGCTCAGAAGCTTTGCATCCAGTCTTTGATTCCCCACCCCCTCCCTCATACTCAGCAAAAATAATGGCTGAATGTGCATTACTGTGTTAGGTTTGCCTGCACAGGGCCTTTGAAAAAATGCAGCGATACTGCTCTGCCTAGCCTTCCCCCAGCTACTGACCATCTGGTTGTTGCCTTAAAAAAAAAAATCAGTTGGGTAGAAATTAGGTGCACCGTATTTTTCACTCCATAAGTCGCACCAGACCATAAGACGCACCTAGTTTTTGGAGGAGGAAAACAAGAAAAAAAATATTTTGAATCCCAGAAGCCAGAACAGCAAGAGGGATCGCTGCGCAGCGAAAGCAATGATCCCTCTTGCTGTTCTGGCTTCTGGGATAGCTGCGCTGCCTGCATTCGCTCCATAAGATGCACACACATTTCCCCTTACATTTTAGGAGGGGAAAAGTGTGTCTTATGGAGCGAAAAATATGTTGATTATTCTATACTGGAAGGAAAAGATTGTGTATTGCCACCCTTTTATTTTGTAGTACACAACCTTTGTCTATTTTACATTCTTCCACAAGATGCATCCACAGTATTAGGAATCCTGTTCCCCCAGCCTAGTTTCAGTATTGCTTATAGTAACTAGTTTCAGTTACTATTTCTATATCTGTGCGCGCAAGCCTGCTGCATTTTTGACCCCACTCCTCAGTTTTTCCTTCTTTGCCCTGTAATTTTGAGCCTGAAATTTCTGTTCCTACAGCTCTCCCCTCTCCCAGTATACTCCATCTTTCCTTTTCTGTTGATCCACAAGTCTTTTTTTTTTTTTTCAATATTGCAGCAGTGTCCCTGTGCCTAGGACACGATGAATATTTGTGATTTTTCTCGTCCAGCTGAAAACCGCCAATGTGATACTGCAGATAAGCATCCCAAGCACGAGGCAGTTTTGATGACATTCTTTCCAAAAACTGTAAAGAAGAAGAAAAATAATAATAGAAAGCAGGCAACTAGACTTGCATGCAGATGAAATATTGAATCAACTGATAATAGCGTAGCTGTAATACACAACAAAGATCTGGATCGGCATGGAGATGACAACTTAAAGCTTTTGCAGATAAGCATCTCAAACATGCTGATAGCATTGTGTAGGAAGATGGAAGGAAGGTGACAAATAACACACATTTCTACCTTTTCCTCTTCTCTTCCCTTTTGGTGGAAAAAAAAATTGCAGCAAGGCAGAGCCGACAGGGATACTTGCTTCTCCTCTCCACCAGGCACCTGCAGCTAAGAACCACAAGGCAAGCCTTGCAAAAAAATAAAATAAACTGCCTTGGGCAACCTCACAGGAAAAAAAAAATGACCCTCAGGACTGTAGCAATTTTTATGTCCTTGTCAAATCCACAGGACTAGCAAAGCCCCCCCACTCCCACCCCCCGCATCACATAGGAATCAATTGCACAAGGTGGAGAGGTGGAAAGCATCCTTATATAGAGCTTTGTGTGTGTGTAATATCTGTCACATAGCTTTTAAAAAAGGGGGTCTCTTGAGGAATCTGAGGCTGGACTACAGAAAGTTCTTTGTGGAAGAACTGGCAGATGTTAGCTCGGTTTTGACAGATGTGGCGGTGCAGACCACCTGGCAGTTCTTCGCAGGGGGCTTCGGTTTGAAGATCACCGCAATAAGCTTAATCACTTGAAGGCCTGTCAGCAGCCTGTAGTAAGATTCGTCCCCTACCTTCCTTGATCAGATTTACCAGGATAGAACATGAGCCTGAAACTATCCCACCGGTAGCAGCACCACCTAGCCAATGGCGGAGACACACTGTTACCTGTGCAACTTGCTGTCGCTCGTATCGGCCTCATTAGCTTTCGAAATCCTTACAAACAGCTGCTTTCTGGCTCATTTTTCCCCCCAGCTGCCAAATTAGAGCTTAAAGGATTGTTCAGACTCTGGGGCCTTAGCAAAATAAAGGCTAGTAAATGAATTCTGGGATTATCAGTCTGCGTTTTGAGATCTATGAGGCATCTCTTTCTCAGTAATCTTTAGGTAATTCCTTCTGTAAATTTTCTCAAATCCCTCATGGCCACATTAATATATATGGTCAGGCTCTTGTGATGTTTCCAGTATTAATGTGTCTAATTTTGACAGCACTAGCATTGGGCAATGGGAATGCCTCAGTCTCAATCCAGCAGGCACATAAGGGCTCATCCATATGTCCTTTTGCGCCATGCTTACCAGGCATGGGTAAAATGTGGGGTTTTCTGGAGAAAGCACCAGGACAAAATAAACCCTGCTCAGACACAGAGCATTAAAGCCCAAACCTGTGCCTAGAAACATAGCACAAAGGGAAGTCTGGGTGAGCCCTATGATAAGAGGAAGAAGAGCAGAGCTACACCTGGTAAAGGTAAAGGGACCCCTGACCATTAGGCCCAGTCATGGCCGACTCTGGGCTTGCGGTGCTCATCTCGCTTTATTGGCCGAGGGAGCCGGCATACAGCTTCTGGGTCATGTGGCCAGCATGATTAAGCCACTTCTGGCGGGCCAGAGCAGCGCATGGAAACGCCGTTTACCTTCCTGCCGGAGCGGTACCTATTTATCTACTTGCACTTTGACATGCTTTCGAACTGCTAGGTTTGCAAGAGCAGGGACCAAGCAATGGGAGCTCACCCCATCACGGGGATTCGAACCACTGACCTTCTGATCAGCAAGACCTGGGCTCTATGGTTTAACCCACAGCGCCACCCGCGTCCCACTTGGTAGTAGGTAGAATAAAGGCCTCAGTAAAGTGTGCTTTCTCTGAGAGTAGAGGTATCTCTACATAGCTTGGGTGCATGGCTGGGGACTGACCAGTCCCTGTGTTGTCATCACTATGTCTGGCTCTGCCCTGTTTACTTCAGGCATGACTGATTTCTGCTGCAGAGTTGTCAGCTTGTCGCGAGCACTGCAGTGTGTCTCACCACGAGCCATGTTATGATCTGGGAGCTTCTAAGCCAAAGAGGGAGAGAGAGTTAGTTTCATTTGGAAACACACACACACACACACAGAGAGAGAGAGAGAGAGAGAGAGAGAGAGAGAGAGGTGTTTGTACTTGCCATTGTGATTTATATAGTTCCTCCTATCGGAATGCATAGTTTGGACATTTTGTGTTAAGAGCGTAACAGAAGATCAACCCTGTTGGATCAGACCAATCTCCTATAGAATTCAGTGATCTGTTTCCTACTGAATGCATCTGAGAAGCCCACATGAATAACCTGAGGGCAACAGCCCTCCCATACTGTTCCCCTCCAACTAGTATTCAGAGGCATGCTACCTATAACCCTGGATGTGGCATTCAGCCACTGTGACTAATGATCTTTGATGGATTTGTCTAGTCTGCTTTTTTACCTCTCCACCTGAGGTAGTGGCCATCACTACATCTTGTGGCAGCAAGTTTCATGCACTAAATACTCATTTTTGTCTATTCTGAATGTCCTACCAATAAGCTTCATAGGATGGCCCTGGCTTCTAGCTTTATATGAGAGGGAGAAAAACATCTCTTTATCCAGTTTCTCCACATTTACATAATTTTATAAACCTTGCCCATGTTCCTCTTAACTTGCCTTTCTTCTTCTTCTAAAAGTAAGAAGCCCTAGACGTTGTAACCTTTCCCTGTTGGGAATTGCTTTTTTAAATAAATAAATAAATAAATAAATAAATAAATAAATACTAAATTCTCCCAAATTTCACATAAAAATTCCAATAGGTAATGCATTTTTCTTTTGTTTTATCGACTTCCCATCCCATTTTCTGTGGTGTTTTTGTTCCATCTCTTTGCTGCACCCTAACTTCACTCTTTTATATCATAACCACAATACAATAAACCTTGCAGGGAATTTCTTTAGCTTCCTGACCATTTTGGCTGCCATTTTTCTGCATCTTTCCCACCTCTAAAATATCATTTTCCGAGCTATGCACAGTATTCCAGGCCCACACCACAGGTTTGTTTAAATGATGTGGACCATTTCATTATTTTATTGGCAGGTTTATTATCAGTGGCCTTCTTTTCAAGGAAGCAAAGCCAGAGCAGCAATGGCCTGTGTGATGGGCTTGAGCCATCCTCTCGATGCTGGCATTGCTGCAGTTTCCCTGGAGTGTGTGGGGGGCTATAGTGGGGCTGCACAGCTGCACTGGCAGAGCCAATCCACTGCTTCCACCAGTGTGTTGTGCAGTCTCAACCTATCTGCTGTCACGATATATCCTGTCCTCATCCCAGTACTGTAAACTTCAGCAATGCTGAAGAGTAGTTCCGCAGCTTTGCCCCACCTCATGGGCTGCTACTGTCTAGGTCCTATTGGAATGAATGGGATAAGGGCCAACGACATGATTTGCAGGTGCATATAAGGTGTAGCTTGTATGTATACCCAAGTGCTTCTAAACATCAGTTACTTTCGTCTACAATTTCCAGTCCTGCTGTGACCTCAGAGGAATTAAGCCAATGGAAATCAAGGAAGCCATAGCAACTCTGCTTTTCAAGGCCCGCTGTGATAATAAAGTGAAGCAGTTAGGTCAGAAGCTGAGGAAATAACTAGATTGAAGAAGCCAAAGGACGATGAGAGGCGTATGGGAGAACATAACTGAAGCCCGTCCTTATGATGATCTCCAACTCTCTCTGTTTACAGTGTTGTGCTTTACTGAGCAGAAGGGTCTTGCAATGTACCATCCTTTGCCTTTCAAAGTGTTTCTGTTTAATACCCAAAGGTCATCCGTTCAATACTTTCTGTGTGTATCTAGCTACGCTTCTTTATCGTTAATGGGTGATTGTATAGTTTGAAGCTCTGCAGCAGACTGAGACTGTGGAAACTGACGTTAACGAATAAATCTGATAAACATCTTGCCGTTTCACTAAGAAATTCAAGGACGTTTTCCTTGCTTGCTGTAGGAAGATATATTAAAAATGGCAGTATACAAGACAGACAGCATGTTGATTGCCTGCAATCATCTGCTGAAGGACAAAAAAATGGCATTTTCTAAATTACCACATTAGTTCCCAAAGTGAGAGATGAAATGCATTAATGAAATAGCCTTTGTATTTGTGGAACCTAATCTGAATTTTTGGTCATATAGTTTTCTAATCAATTTTGGTGTGCAGTCAGTGGAACAAAAAATTCTGATTGTGTTTTACAGCAGGATAAGCTAAAAAGAAAAGAAAAAAGCCCAACTTAAACTTCAGTTGCTTCTTTATCTACAGATTCAAAAAATGTATTGGGGTATGTATGTGTGTTTTAATAATGAACTAGCCTCTTTATAAGGAAATAACCCAAAGGACATACCCCTGAAGTATAATTAAGCTTTCCGTAACAATATTTGCCAAAGGAAAAGTAATGGAATGTTGCATCTTAAATTGCCTTGTGGGCTGGATTTCTTTTATAATTAAGTATTTATACACCACCATTAGTGTACATGGTGCCTTCCAAAAACAAAACAAAGATGCCAACAAGACTAAAGCATTCAAATTACTCAATTAAAAAGTTTGTTTGAAATTAAGTGGAACATTTAATAGAAACTTTGGATACTTAATGATATTAATGGTGGCAGTTCCTACTTTTCGAAGAGAGAATATGTTTTCACTGAACGGCCATTACTATGAACCAAAGGATAGCTTAAGATTTAAATAGTCAAATTCTCTCTTTCTCTCCTCCTTTAACTGTGTTCCTGTACGGAAACATACAAACAAGCATTTAATAGGCAGACAACCTTAAAGGGCAATGCTACAAATTGTCAGAGAATTTGAATACGTTCACCAATTAAAGAACTGAAATGTTTAATGATTATGATAGTATTTTCTATCCTGATAATTGATGGAAGAGTAAGCAGGCAGGCAAACTGCTGCGTCAAGCGCGCTGGCTTGATCCCACAATTCAGAGGGCCGGCACTGTGTGCCATGCCCTTGCCATGCACGCATGCTGTGTGACATGCTCATGTCATGCGAGCACACGGTGTGGTGCTGATGTCACTTGTACATGCTGTACATTGTGCTGACATGCCACCCGCATGCCATGCTGCTTGCACGAGTGACATCAGCACGTAGCATGGTGTGTGCATGGCACATATTGAGGGGGCCCGGTTCCCTCCATCAAAATTTCTGGGGGCCCTCGCCCCACCAGATGGCGCCCATGTGCTGCGTGTTCACCACCAGCAATTGCAGTGCCTAGAATGTGTTTTCAAAGGGCCACTCTAGCCCCCATGCTTTGTGGTTTTGTCCGTGTAACAATCCATTTTTGTTTAAATTCCTCAGTGCTGAAACAAGGTTGGAGCTTTTTGTATTCGCAAACCTTTTGGTATACGTTGACTTTTATAATACCCTGATAAGGAAACAACAGCATGATGGTTCATTTTAACTTTACATTAAAGGGGGAGCTGTAGTAATAATGGGTGCCAATGATTACATGAGAGAAATTAGGAGACAACTGGCGGATTTCAAAAGCTACAGAAAAATAGGTTGAGACCCCATAACACATATTCAAAAAAGATATTATTACAATTAGAGTCAAAGTGGATCTCCCGCCTAGATACAGTTATTCCAAACGGCTTGAACTTTAATTTAGAATTGAATTGTTTTCTGTGATCCCTTTTTACAGTCCTTTATCATCTTTGATGAAACAAGAGCATTTGTGGTTTTGTCACGAATGCCCTTGTGCGCCTGCCAGCTGTTTCCCTTCTCCAGTGCTGGTGGGGCAATGAAATAAGTACAGGGGGATGTGGGTGCTCACAGAGGGAGAATGGAGGCTGCATGAACCTTGTGTGCCATGGGTTGCTCAGAACTGGTTTCAGGACTCAAGATCTTCCTTTCTGGTGGCTGCACGAAGTAATATGTTGCCCCAGTAATATGGTATGATGGACTAGATTTGCTTTTCTAGAAGATAGTTGCAAAATGTGGAGGCTGGGATAAGTGGGTGAATTAATTATGATGGTAAGCCATTTCTTGTGTTGTCTTCTGAGAGCTTATGTGGGTATATCTTTAGTACTAGAGAAACTTACCAGAAGTTAAGTCTTACTGAATTCACTGAGGCTTTACTCCCAAGTAAGAGGGGTTAGGACAGCAGCCTTCAGACTGGATACATTTCATGTTAGTATGCTTGCACAAGCTTAGCATAAGCATCGGCTGTTTTGCTGACATGGCTTTGATTCCCACCGTGTCTGTATGGCCTTCACATGAATACATTGTGTTACGCAAAACAATTGTGCTTTGTGAACCTGCGTGTATAGCTTGTGTCCTTACGATAAGCGTGTTAGCTATTCTCTGCCCTATGGGATGGGGCAGCAATCTTGCAGAGCGAAATGCTTTTTCAGCAGTGTCATAAAGCTTTCTCAGCAGGTTCTTAAAGTGACAGGTTATCATAAATTCCCTATTAGCAGCCACATCCAGGAGTTCAATTACCATATTTTTTGCTCTATAAGATGCACCAGACCACAAGACGCACCTAGTTTTTGGAGGAGGAAAATAAGAAGAAAAAGAAATTCTGAATCTCAGAAGCCAGAACAGCAAGAGGGATCACTGCGCAGTGAAAGCAGCAATGCCTCTTGCTGTTCTGGCTTCTGGGATACCTGCTCAGCCTGCATTCACTCCATAAGACACACACACTTTCCCCTTACTTTTTAGGAGGCAAAAAATTAGTCTCATAGAGCAAAAAATACGGTACCGCAATTTTGGGACCCTTGGGGACCCCCCCCCCATGGGACTGTGACAAATATTGTGCCAGGGCTCAGTCTGTCATATCCTTTACATTTGTTGTGAGGCCAACATGAGATTAAGCGAGGTACATACACATTTTAAAGCATCATACAGCACTTTAGATGAGTTTGCCCTGGTAAGCTATGGTTAAATCACCAAAATCATATATTTATTACAGTGACTAATGAAACAGGGTTACTAAATTCTCTTAGCAAAATGCCTACCTGATGTGACTCAAAGGATGCTGTAGCCAAAGTGGCAGTTACAGAACAATGAGGATGGAATATCCAGAAGTGTTATGTTTGCTGTTGCTGAGTGATGTCAGGTATTGTCTTCCAGGCTGTTGTCATGTGATGTTAAGGTGTCACCTCTCTATATCTAGAAGCTTTCTCTTTCTTTTTAAAATGTTCATATGACATCTCTACTGCAGTAACCACTATGCTGTATCAGAGAGGGTGTGGTCCTCTGAATTTAAGTGCTTTGCGATTGATGGTTCCATTTTGGAGGGAGGTGATCACAGGGTCATCTTTCCCATATGGCTTAGTGATTCGTTGCGCCAGGGCGCTGGCCTCTCAGGGGCTCCCCAGCGAGTGGGGGAGCTGCGCGGCTTTGCCAGCGGCCTCCTCTTTCCCTGCACGCCCGCCATGCTCCCCATCAAACATATGGCTGCCGGGCGTGCAGCTTCTGTTGGGATACTGCAAGGGAGATAAAGTCCATCAAGGCCCCCAAGCCGTCTGCCGGACGATCCATCGACCTCCCGTAGGCACGCAGCGACATGAGTTTCTAGAAAATATCTTGTACACATTCCAGAGCTCATGCACACTCTATCAGCAATTAGCACAGCCAAAAGTTGCACTCAGGAGAGCATTATTTACAAGTTTATTCAGCGTTGATCAGAACACAGAAAACATGACTGCCTGCTTTTAGTGTTTGCGACACAGAGAGAAAACGAAAGCAACAGAAAACATAAACATCCTGTGAACAGGAAATACGCAGACTCTGACTCACAAAGCCTGCTCCCTTTTAAGGTGGAACGGAAATATCCTAACAGCTTCCTTCCCAAGCCTCCACAGGAGGAGAGTGATCCTCGCAGAGGCTTGGGAAAAGGTTGACAACTCTGGGAAATGGGGAGGGGGGGTGGAGGGAACTTTGCACCACGGTGCTGGATATGCTTAAGACGGCCCTGGGTGGTCAAGATTTTATGGTTCCCAAATCATGTCTGTCGGTCACTTGTTTCTGTTTCACCATCATGCTGATCAAGACATCTTGGAGTGATGTAAGTCACATCGCAGAACCTGCAGGCGGTGTTTTGTATGAATAAGTAAGCTCTGCCAGCCTTAGTGCTCTTGAAGACTGTTTTTGCTCCTGCCAGTTGCTTCCAGGTATATCTACCTTTCCCCTCTTCCTTTGATCTTCAGGCTTCTTGTATCGTTGGATCCTGGCTGGAAGTCTGCTTATATTTCCTCCGCTGTTTTCTCTCTCTTTCAGCTGATAGAGTGGTCAATCATGAAACAATCACATCTTCATTAGAACAAAGTAAAGCCAGTGTTAGACTAATACAGGCCATCAGCAAATTTTGTTTTTCAGCTCCCTTCTTTGGAGTGATTTTCCCACACTCTTCGTTTCATGAGTGCATTACTGTAAACAATGGTTAATGCATATTTGGTTCCTTCATAACCAGTGCATGCAAATTTACTTTAAACAGTGGTGCAGCCTTTGGTTTATGGGAGAATTGTGGCTTGTGTAACTGCCAAGCCTCTGGCTTGGTGTCGGGGTAATGCAAGTCATAGCAAATCAGGATATGCAAATCAGGAGTCAGCCTTGTGAACCTTCTCTGGAGCAGTAAGCTTTAATACAATAAGCAAAACTACATAGCACTAAATTCGTTACCAGTTGCTTAATAGTCATTTGTACAGATTCAATCTTAGGTGCTTAAGTTGCAATGAAATCAATAAGGTATATGCTTTTAGCCCCACTGATTTCAACAGAATTTGTTTGGGCTAACATTTCTGTATTGTGCCCATCCTTGTCAGACAGTAATACCATTTTGGGGTTCTGAGAATCTCTACAGCTTTATGACTCCTCCATTATATGCTACCCAATGGCTGATTGTTTCTTTCATTTGTTCTATTAAAGCCATAGCCATTTCTGGCAGTAATTGTTCTGTTGACTGCTGTTTAATGTGCAGTGCATGCTGATCTAATTACAGAGGAGGACGGAAGGTCCTGGAATGAATTTAAAGTGGTACCCTCTTTTAACTATACTACTGTTTAACTGGCTTAGCAGATCTCTCAGACCTTACTAGAAAAGACAGCTTGAATGTCTCTCTTTCTCACTAGCTGTAAGATAAGAACTAGTACTGTCTAAATACCATAAAAATCCTAGCCAGAAAATAAATAAATAAAGTAACATGTAATTATAGTAACTTCAGATTGGGCATCTCTAAATTAATTAATGTAATTATTAGGAGTGTTTCTCCAGGGTAGGTTTACGAGTGACCTGGCATTCTAATTTGCAAGCCGCTGTAAATCTGTTATCAGTTTTCTCAGCTGTCTGCTAGCTAAAAAAACCCCTAGGTTTTATTCTTTTCTGAGTCCTATAGGTAAATCCCCACAAGTCACATGGAATGATCTGCAAAGGTAATGTGCCAGGGCAGGGGTAGCTAATATGGTGCCCTCCAGATTATTTGGGCTACAACTTCCATCAGCCTCAGTCAGTGATGACGGGAGCTGTAGTCCACATCTGCAGGGCATTGTGCTGGGCTACCTCTAGGCTAGAGAACTGATTATCAATAGATTTACAAAAGGGGTGCAATGAATATACATGTCACATGATAAAGATGGTGGCAGCTTTTGGACCATATCTTAAGCAACAAGATTTGGGTTGTCATGCCAACCAGCTTTCCCATCTGGTGGTGTTGCTGGTGACTGCTAAGTCAGTTGTTAGTAAGACAACTCTCATCCATGACTTGACCATGGATGAGGCAGCCAACTTGGTATATGTTAATGAGATGAATGAACTGGACAGGAAAGACCTGACCCAGCTGTGTCCTCCTTAGGTACTCAGTGGACCACCAGTATAGGTTGGAGGGCTAGGGTGAAGAATTGCTGCCACCCACAAAAAATCCATCTTTCTCACCAAGAGTTCAGTCTGCGGGGATACTGGATGTTCCTGGTGCTGAACCAGATAGGCAGAAAAGGAATTTTGTTGGTGTACCACAGAGATGGATCCTGAGCTCCCTCACTTTACAGGGGCCACTTCAGCATTGGATCTAGGAATAAGGTACACACCATTTCCTTCAGGGGAGTGAACTTCAGGTGGAGGTGGTGTGCAAATTTAATAAATGAATCCTTCTCCATGGGGCTCTGTCTTGCAAAACCCAATACTATGCAAAATAGCAAGTCAGTCAGCTTATTGCAGTTTTAGCCATCCTGGTTCTCTAGAAATTTAGTATTACAGTACCCATAAACCCTAGCCAGCATATCAGCAATGTAGTTAGATTAGACAGGACCTGGTTGACAAGGGCTCAAACCCCCTACTCAGTTTACTCACTGGCCTTGGGCCACTAACTATCTCTTAACCTAACCTATATCAGAATTGTTGAGACGATAAAATGGGGAGGGGGGAAACTGTGCATCCCACCTTGAGGGAAAGCAAAATATTAATAATACATCTATCTATCCTATCTATCTTTGGTTAAATTAGAGCAATTATTTCTAAATTTGCATCTGTACATGTAAACTAACATATGGAGTTTTATGCAGATCTGTGCCCTCTTTCCCATATTCAGGTGGTGCATGCCCTCTTTCCTCCCCCAGGAAATGCATAACTGTACTTGCATAAAAGTGGGGAAAGAATGGGGCAGAAGTTCCTCTTTGGATAATTATTCTACAGTCTAGCCCCATGACAGAGAAAGCCCTTTCCCTTGTCCCCATGAAGAGATATTATTTTTTTTGCCAGTGGAGGGGAGAAAATGAATGGCCCCATAGGCTGAATAGTTCTCAAAGAGCCTGATATGGGAGGATGCAATTCCTGAGATGGTCTGTCCCCACAGGCTGTTTGGGGTTTTAAAAGCTAATGCCACCATATTCAACTGAAGGCAAGCCGCTTGTGAAAGTAATGTAAAGCTGCCATTCTACAGTATGGGCTGTTAGCTCCTCATAATAATCTGACAGCAGTATTCTGGCTAAATCGAAGTATCCTGGCTATCTTAAGTACAGCTCCTCAGTAGACCAACACTGAGATAACAAGAGGAATAATGAGAATTGGAACTCCCAACCAAAACTACCCCCAAACATTGGTTCAAAACTTAGACTACCACTTTAGGATATATTGTGGTAAACAAAAGAGAACTGGATGTTTTTTTGCATATTGGTGACATCTTGCCAAAATGAGAGCTACCTTAATTAGTGAAATCAGTTGTAATTAATGCATATAGCTATTATTTCAGCCTTTCTATTCAGGATTAAAAATTGGTATATTTTGTCCTCTTGTTTTAGTGAATTGCATTGAAATTCTGTATTGTTGTTGTATTTTTCGGGTAAGGCATAATTAAATCTTACAAAAAGCAAAAAATAAATAAATTGCCTTTTCTTTTGCCCAATAACTCGCTCTCTGAGAGGCATTGTTGGGAATGCAGTTTCAGTCTTTTCAGTAACAACCAAATGCATCTACTCTTTTGGATTAATTACATTCTAACAATGATCTGGTTTGTCTTTTCAAGGTCCCCTGATTATTGACCCAACTGATTGGATTTCAGCGAGTGTTAGAAATGATGAGTGAGACGCCATTGTTTCTCGTGCCCTTCTCTCCTCTGCAGTGTTTCTCTCCTGTTATTAAGGGTTCTAACAATGCTAGCTGCACTCGGGTTTTTGTTTCAGGTAATGAGATGACTGACCCTTTCATTTGTTGGGGAGGAAGGAGGGAACGACTGCATTGTTGCAAGGGGCTGAATGTGCTTTCAAGGAGCAACTTCGTAACAAAAGGAAGAACAACTGATGAACCATGGCCTTTTCATGATGGACCTTAAGGTTGCTAATTGTGAGACATTTCCTGATGCGGATTTCAGATAATTTTTAATTGATGAAGGGTATGCTCATTTAGAGAGAGCCAGGTCTGCATGGGCCTCTGACTCAGTTGTTGTTGTTTATTAGAAGCTTATTATTAGAAGTTTATTAGAAGCTGTGATTTATACATGGATTTATATATGGATCTTTCATGGGGGACTGTGATACACATGCACTTTGTACTTGGGTATTGGTATCCGACTGTAATTCATCTCCAAGGAAGTCGCCCACCCTGAATTGTTTCTTGATTTGAAAATGCATGCCTGGTTAAGATTGTGTGTAATTGCATTTGCATGAGCAGAATAATGGAACAAATTTGGTAATCCAAAATTCACAGTAATCTAAGTAATGGATCAAATTCTCACAAAATGCAAATTTCCCTTCTACTGTATAGGTCAGCTTTCCCCAACGTTCTGAATTTTTGGAACTTGAAAGCATGCTTCTGTGGTACATGACCAGGCTATGCTCCTTTTTTTAGAGTGTGAAAGAGTAATAATTATTTGCTCTCAGATGGATCAACTCCTTATGTGTTTGCATGAATCACTGTTCTGAGCCTGCCTCCTGATTTAGAGGAAGGGATTCCCAAATTCAGAGGTTCGAATATAATATAATAGGAAGCCTCACTTAGTCATCTGCAGGCATTGAAACAAACAAACAGCAAACAAACAAACATGTAAATAAAGGAGAGATGTAAATTGTGAAGGTGAAATAGACATCAGTTCCCTCTATCTTGAGCTTCATGAGTTGAGTGGAATGGTCTCAAGACAGATTTTTGGCACAGTTGACCGGATGTGTTTAGAATCCTGGAACTATTGGGAATCCTGACTGCACAGAGTTTCCTGTCATAGGGGGTTTCCTAAGCATGTTTAGCTGAACATGCAAAGAACCCTGTTGAACATGTTGAAGGATGGGGAAAGTCAGGGGGAAAGCTGGCAGAGGAAAGGATGTTGGGGCACAGCACAGTCTTGAATGAATAACAACGAAGCTTTCATTCCAGTTCTGCCTTTTATGTTACATGTTTGTTATATTTACCATGTTTCTATGCACATTAGTTAACCAGCTGGTTAGCACATTCATTCACCTGAAATGTCTAGACTTCAAACCAACAAGCATCACTGTGAAAAGGCACCTTGTTTAAAAGAATAATCAAGCCAGAGATAAGGATTTCTGAAGCAATGGCAAGAATGATTTATTAAAGTAAAAACATAAGATTAAACAGTTTACTTTAAACTATTTAAATGAAGACTGGCATTTCACAATCCTGAACACATAATAAACACAAATAGTACTGCCAAGTATTAGAAATAGCTTAGAAGAAAAACAACAGTAAATCACGCACTCTACTTCCTCCTCTGCACCCCAGCTTGAAATCAAGTGCATGGCCTCATGTGGGTGATGGGAAGGTATAGGGGAGATGGACACAAATGAAATCCAATTGGAGGATTTCAGGGCAGTGATTGCTTAAATCAGTAGTTGCCGGATGCAATCTGGGTAAAGAGGTTTGGAGCAAGTTGGAGATTGCTGCAAATGTGGAGAGATTTGCAGCAGAAGGAGAAATGTTTGAGAGGATGGGAAATGTGGTGGGTTGCAGTACACAGAGAAGTGCAGGGGAACAAAGCGGGGTTATTATTTTTGTCATGATGTTATGCATTTTTGTGTTTTTGTACTGTAAACTGCCCTGTGGTCATTGGATGAAGGGTGACATATAAACTTAATAAATAAATCAAATCAGGGTTCATATTCTAAAATCACTTTATACAATGGTGGAGGGCCTTCCTTATTGACTACCGAGAAGAAAGGGACACTTGACCATGCTAGCTGTTCTCAAACACCGGAAGAAAGGATGCTAAAACTCGCTTTCTATCCTGGCGTATGGTAGGACACTAAGATTCTGCCTGACCAAACCTGATTCTTAGCAAGAAGCAGGATTTCAGATATACCAGCTGGGTAAATTATGGGAGTTAAGAGAGGGCGATATAGAAGGAAATTGGATGAAAAGAATTACAAATTCAATTATCAGTGGGAGAGGAGAATTTTTCCATTAATATACAAGCTGAATTCCTTCCCATGCCCAAGACATGTTTGATTTTTGGGAGGTGATATAGGAGAAGGCAGGATGGAATGGATTAAGTCTAGATCAAACAGCAGGGGGAGCCTTAAGGTGATGTATATATGCCACAAACTTTGAGGCTTATGTACAATTTCTGCACATTTTGCAACATAATTCTTGGACTTCAAAAAGCTCCACCTTTTCAGGAAGTCTGTGGCCATCAGTATTGCATCCTAAATCCTTCTGACTGCACTAATACACTCTATTCTTCTTTCTTACCCTAGTTATTTGAGTAATTGAGATGGCTGGTCATCTCTTTGCCTGGAATCTGCCTGGAATCTCTCCTCAGCCTCACTGTGCTGTTGAATGCAAGCTCACAAAAATGCCTATTGGCTTGTTCTGCTTTTTGGCTTCTACACTCTGTCTTTTTGCAAAGGGGGACAGAACTACAGCTTTGTGAAAATGCCACTCTCCTCCCAAATGGGGGTGCAGCATGTTGCCAGATATTCTCCAGGGTGTGATGAAATTCTCCAAGGTTGACAACTTGGCTGCCATTTTACATCTTCCAAAATGGCGTGGGGTAGAAGAAAATATTCTGAAGAATCACTCTTCCCCCACCCCCCAGGGCTGAGGTGAAAAAGAAAATGATCAGAAAATGTTAACAGAAAATCTTTTCTGAGAAATTTCCGCTCAGCTCAGTGCGGAACAAAGCTGCTAACCAGCTTGGCCAGCAACTCCTTGGCAGTGCCTTACTTTGTCCCTCTGTTTCCTGTCCTGAATTCTCCCTGTTTGTGTCCCTGTTTCTTGCCTGTTTCCCCATCGTTTTCCTGATTCAGCTTGAACCTAATTATTCAGCTCCCTAATCTATGCCGCCTACATCCTGAGTCACAGTTATCATCTGCTGGATTCTTATGATACTTCTTTGGCAGTTTTATGTCTATACTGCAATTTCCCCCCATTGTACATCAAACAAGGGACAAAAATTGTAACATTCATGAAGTTTAGAGTGACAGTGGGAAAGCCACGACTGCCATTAATTTTCTAATTTTGTCATGTTGGTGGAAGATACTTCCATTTCTAGAGGGAAGGTAGTACATGAAACTTTGGATGCTGTTTCAAAGATATCACCCAAAAGAAATATTGTCTCTCCGGTTCAGTTGGAACCAAACACCAGGTACTGTTTCCAAAAAGAGAAGGTAATTGTGAAAAATACATACTCACGTTGGATAATGACTGTCGTTCAGTGAATTTTTGTCCGTGTAACCCTGAATTTTGTTTGGTTTTGCAGAGATGTGTAGGAGGTGGCAGGATTGTGCCTTGATAGGCAATTGTCTTATTCATAGTTTATTTTTTAAAACACCACCACCACCACCACCACCACCACACTGTTCTTTACCTTTCTCTTCTGTATGAAGTTGTTATTTAAAACCCAGGCTTGGCGCCAGCACCAGGCACTCTCAGGTAGCTTATGGGGACCCCATTGGCACTGACAGTTGCCCTTCATCTGGGGCATTGTGGGAAATCTAGAATGGAATATTGTGGCCAACTGCCATAGCTGTTAAGTGACCCTTGGCTGGGCCTTTCAACAGAGGAAACGTTCCGCCAGAGGTTACTTAGAATCATAGAATTGTAGAGCTGGAAGGGACCACGAGGATCATCTAGTTCAACTCCCTGCAATGCAGGAATCTTTGCCCAACATGGGGCTCGAACCCATGACCCTAAGATTAAGAGTCTCATGCTCTACACTTTGCCAAGGGCAGCGTCAAACCTGAAGAAGACCCTGTCTGAAGCCAAATATTTGCTTTGTATTAAACAATCCTGCCAAACCCCACGTACAGTGGTACCTCGGGTTACATACGCTTCAGGTTACAGATGCTTCAGGTTACAGACTCCGCTAACCCAGAAATAGTACCTCGGGTTAAGAACTTTGCTTCAGGATGAGAACAGAAATTGTGCTCCGGCAGTGTAGTGGCAGCAGGAGGCCCCATTAGCTAAAGTGGTGCTTCAGGTTAAGAACAGTTTCAGGTTAAGAACGGACCTCCGGAACAAATTAAGTTCTTAACCCAAGGTACCACTATACTCTGGCCACACCACAGCATTCCTTTGAGCACAATTACACCACTTTAACAGTCATGGCCACCCCCAAAGAACCCTGGGAACTGCAATTTGTTAAGGGAGCGAAGAGTTGTTAAGAGATCTCCTATTCCCCACACAGAGCTACAATTTCCAGAGCTCCCTGGGAAGCGGGATTGATTGTTAAACTGCTTGGGGAATTGTAGCTTGCTCCTTTCATATCCCCACAGGGGGTTCTGTTTTTGAGTCATGCTAGAGAGTGACAGTGATGGAACCCAAGAACTGGTTCTATTATATATGGCAGGCATGTCCAACAGGTCAATTGCGATCAACAGGTCAATCGCCAGGGTGTTGGAGGTCAATCGCGGGATCATCAAATTCCCCCCCCAAAAGTAAAAAAAGGGGGGGAAGACCTCAGCAACTTTGGCAATGCTCCCCCCAAAAAGCTCAACAACTCTTGGCAATGACAGTGGGTAGATCACTGCCAGTTTATTTATATACAGTGGTACCTCGGGTTACATATGCTTCAGGTTACAGATTCCGCTAACCCAGAAATAGTGCTTCAGGTTAAGAACTTTGCTTCAGGATGAGAACAGAAATTGTGCTCTGGCGGCACGGCAGCAGCAGGAGGCCCCATTAGCTAAAGTGGTGCTTCAGGTTAAGAACAGTTTCGGGTTAAGTACGGACCTCCGGAACAAATTAAGTACTTAACCTGATGTACCACTGTACCGGTAGTAGATTGCAGTCTCTTGGGAGTTGGATGTGCCTTATATACTGCACTTACTAACCAAATTCCAATGTGGCCAGTGTTGCATGGAGATAGTTAATTAGCATGCCAGTGGCATGGTGACAAGTGAGAAAGTGCAGCAAAATATTCCAACTTCCATTAGAGAAATAATGACCTTGGCTGAGTATTTTTCTTTTTTAATTAAATACCAACAATTCCTAGTAATCAGTGAACCTATTAGCCATGAAATTTGAAACCCTTATCATGGACTATTCACTTATCAAATGCGGGCAAGGACTGAATGCACATATCATTTGCTGGCTAATGTTGTATAAAGGTTTCAGAACACCGGTGGATATGGCGACCTTTGCATCTTTTGAGTGTGTTTTGCCTTTTTGTTTTGTGTTTTGCTTCTTGAACAGGTTGCTAAGAAATTAATAAGAAGCTCTAGTTGTTATAGTTAATTCTTTTGTGCCAACAGTCTGGCACACCACAGAGAAGTAGTTTGGTCTGTATAATGGGTTTTGTCAGCTAATATTGATTGGTGTATTCTGCCTTTGATTCATTGGGTGCACATTTAGAAAACCAAAATATTCCAAGCAGCTCTCTGTGTGAACTCTTCAAGTTCACAAGACATTGCACAGATTGAAATAGAATCCTACCAATGCTTTGGAAGACAATAATAATCAGCTGGTTCATTGGAAAGGGAGAACTACAGTAATTGTGATATTGAACAAGGGAGAAAAGATGCACATGGGTCTGTTATACTATTGTATTTAAGAGAGTCACTTCCCAATTGAATCATGACATTTCAGTTTCATGGGAATGAATGTTCCTTTATCCATGTATGCAAAACTTATTTGCGAATCAGCTTGTCAAGTGGTCCAAGTTACAGTTGTGCTTAAACTAAGAGCGGCTCTTTTTTTGGCAAACGTTTTTAACTGCAAAGAAGTGCTGCCTCTTCCTGGTATATTTTCAGCGCTCTTTGCAAATGTGTTGGATCATTCATTTATATGACCATCCATCCCTGTTGCACTTTTCTTCAGCAAGTGACTCACTTGCAAGATTTGATGGTCTACATAGTGCTTGAATGAAATCTGCTTTATTGCATGGTCTCTGATTTGATGAAATCACCCATGCGACAATTCAGGATGGAAGTGGCAGCACAGTTTAAGAAAGGTGTTTTGGGCATCAACAACGACAGGAAATATCAGTGGGGTGACTTCTTTTTTAAAAAAAGTAAATATTTACCCCGCTGAAATAGCGTCTCTGTGGGGATAAATAAACAAATATTTATAGACTTCACTTTCATAAAAATACAGCAATGTGGTATACAGTATAAAAACCACAACATTACATTCAGTTCAATAAAAGCATCAATAAATTCTTGATGGCAAAATAACAACAGCAAGTGTTCCAAATGCCTCTCTGAATAGAATTTGCAGAAGTCATCTGAAAGAAGGCAAGGCAGAGAGCTCAGTTGGTTAGAGTGTGGTACTGATAACACCAAGTTTGCAGCTTTGATCCTTGTATGGAATGGCTGCATATTCCTGCGTTGCCGGGGTTTGGATTAGATGGTCCTTAGGATCCCATCCAACTCTAGAATTCTATGAATCTTTGAGGACTGATTTCTTTGAGGATTGATTTTCCCATAGCAGGTTCTGCTAAACTGAAGGCTCAGTCCCTAATAAAAGCCAACCGAACCTAGGGGCTGTGGAGAACCACCAAAAGTGACCCATAAGAAAAACTTAGTGATTGAGGTGGAGCATAAAGAATCAGGTGATTCTTAATGAACTTTGTACTCAGGTTGCTTAGGGCTTTATGAATTAACAGAGGAACCTTGAATCTGAAGACAGTTCAGAAACTACAGGTAGTTCAAAATGCCAGGCCTGCTTTCAGTTAGTACCAAGGCAGGTGACAACATATTTGACTTGTTTGTGCTTAGGCCCAATTCAAGACAGTGAATATCGCTTCTAGAATCATACATCAGTTGAGGGATCAGTGTACACAAGTCAAGCATATTTTCCCATCTAAAATCTTTCCTCCATTAGGATTTGCTGGGGAGTTCTGCTGAGATCTTGCTTTCCCTGAGAAATAAAATCTGTTAAGAGATACATGATGGTTCCCTAGTTGCAGTGCTTGCTCCCTGTGGATGCTCATCAGAGCCAAACTAGTATTCTCCAAACTAGTATTCTTCACTTCCAAAGTCCTGGCCTGTGTGGGACTAACATTTAGCCATTTCAACAGTCAGTTTTAGGCCATCAGATTCAGCTGCAGAATGGCAGTTGCTGGAACATTGGTGAAAAGCAAGGCAACACTTATATACACCTTTTACCTGCTGTATTGACAACCATATCATTGTCTCTTGGTCTCTCTCTGTGTTTTAGGTTATTGTAAACTTCTTCAGGGACGTGGGTGGCACTGTGCGTTAATCCACAGAGCCTAGGGCTTGCCAATTGGAAGGTCGGCAGTTCGAATCCCTGTGACGGGGTGAGCTCCCGTTGCTTGGTCCCTGCTCCTGACAACCTAGCAATTCGAAAGCACGTCAGAGTGTGAGTAGATAAATAGGTACCGCTCCGGTGGGAAGGTAAACGGCATTTCCGTGCACTGCTCTGGTTCGCCAGAAGCGGCTTAGTCATGCTGGCCACATGACCCAGAAGCTGTACGCCGGCTCCCTTGGCCAATAAAGCGAGATGAGCGTCGCAACCCCAGAGTCGGTCCCGACTGGACCTAATGGTCAGGGATCCCTTTACCTTTTAAAACTGCTTCAAGAACTTTAGTTAGTAGGTGGGGTATACTCAATTAAAAAATGTATTAATCATGCCCTTCATTTTATTTGATCTGATTTCATTTGGGCCATACTTATCTTAATTATAGTTTCATTTGTCTTATGTGATGAGTTCTTTATGCTAATTTTCTTGTTTTAGTAGATTGTTACGGGTTTGTGGGTGCCCTGACTCCTCTGGGTTTCTGGACGCCCTGATCTCTTTTAGATTCCTGAGTGCTGGTGTTTAATCAGTGTTTTGAGAATTAAGGTGAGCTGACAGGGTTGGATTTAACAGTGCAAAAAAGGAAGGCAAAGTTTCTTTTTCAGCCCAGGGCATCGCCTGGGCAGAAGTAGTTAAGGAGAATGAACTTGATGATGACCACTCATCAAGACATCAAAGGAAGATCCTTGGAGTCTGGGCAAGTGGGGGTTGCCAGGGGTAACGGGGGGGGCGTGCTGCTGTTTTGAACCCAAGGTTTAGGGTAATGCCTGTTTGGATGGGTTGCTGCTGGGCTTATGGCAGGAGCTGGCTGCTCTTGGGCTGTGAATGCTGTATTCCCCTCCATCCTACACTCTGGTTTTATATATGTGTGAAGAAAACCATATTTCAAAAGACACCATAGTCTCCACTGTGCCTCATTCCCAAGGAACACAAACCATGGTTAAGTGCCAAGACCCTTAGAATCTTGCTATCATTTGGCAGAGATTGGGGCAGCCTGTAACAGTATTGTTAGCCACCTAGTTTCCATTAGGAAAGAAAAGTGGGTTATAATTTCAGTAAGTACATAAATAACTTTATTCTAGCCTTCCTCACAACTGTTCTAGTTTAGAGCAACTTGTTTGTTTTTTAACATTCCAGTTTCCTTTGGCGATTTTATCTCTAAATCTCTAGAGTTATGCTGTGTGTGTTTGCATGACTCTTAAGTTTTTCAGACACAAAGCAGCAGGATCTGGTAAGCTTATATCGCCTGTAATAGAATTTCACTAATGGTAGTGGACATACCCAGCCCAAGGCCTGTGCATACCTATATGTAGCCCATATTTGACTCTTCAGGTTACTAGATGGCTGGTGATATCTTGGTGAAACAAGATAAAATTAATTGGAGCATGAGTCAAATCCATATCTTAGCATAGCGGGAGGATGTGTTCTGTAGTTCTTGCCCTAGAATTACCCTCTGAATGTTTTCCATC